ATTTGTAAAAGATTAACTTATTAATAAGATGTTTAGAGTGTTAGAGAGGGGTTATGTTCGAACCTCTTACTCTCTAACACTCATTGCCGCCAGCTCTCTCTTCTCTTCCTCTCTTGTTTGTTCATTTTCTGGTTTGCATCTAATATCAAACAGTTCCATACATCAAGTGGGCTGTTTTTCAACTATTTGAAAGCAAGAGGCAAATAAAACTTTTATGCAGATTTTAGAATTTGTAATTCTCTTTTATCTTATCTATAATCTTAAAATTATACCACTTGGAAGGGCTCTTGAACACACAGACACCTAAGATGTGGTGCAGTCCATAGTCATTTAGTGGGATAAGGCTTGGAAAACTTGAGAGGTGATAAAAAGATGGTACAAGAAAGGGAGTAGAAGAGGGATAAGTAAAACATTGAGCCTTCCAGCTTCAGCATTTAAAGATTTGGGGGTCTAAGGCTAGATTGTTTATTTTCTGAGGAATTGGACTTCAGTATTGTCATATTGTGGTTGTTTTTGGTGGGTAGGGTTGGGGCCTGGGAGTTGGGAAGTATTACAGATGACCTTGGTTAACTGCTGTTGGTGGATTGGATTGGAAGGTCCACTGGTCCAGGGGCTTTGGTCGGATGTTGTGGATCTTGGCTCATTTGTTTTTTATACTAGTTTTTAAGTATGAGGTTGGCAGACTGGCATTCTAGCTTTTTAAACTGCTGCAATTCATCTTTTTTGTTAAAGATATTTTAAATCTTTTCATTTCTTTTGTGCTTGGGTCATGATGCCTATGTACTTGTTATATACTTTACCTTTGTGTTAACCCAAAGTCAAGCCTTAAAGTGGGTCATAAACCTCCATAAATCTGTCACAAGGTAATGGAAAATGGAAATATGTCTTGTGTAACATGGGTAGTGACTTCATGCTTCATAGCATATTTTTCTCTCTTGCTTTCTGTAGCCCTCATTTTTCTCACCATATTTATCTCTCTTTTTTTGTTTGATTTCTGGTCTACTTTGGAGATTTCAAAGGGGGAATTTTGACATGTATTAGTTTTTGTTTTCTTGTTGGGTGATTCCTCATCATTCTTTGTTTTTGATCTCTGTACTCCTGACTATTAGTAATGAATTTTCTTTTTTTATTTATTATAAAAAAATGGTGTATATACCAGTGTCTGGTATACAATTCTTCTACTATACAATTCTTCTACTCTTTTGTATCTTGATGGTTTCCATCATTGTCAATTTGGATAAATCCTAATTCCTAAGCCAAGTCAATAGATATTTAAGTTGGTATGCTATGACTTATAGTATTATATTTCTTTTCCTTGATAGGGCACAAAAAGAGGAAATGGTTTTGGCAGACATGCATGTTAAACCTGGCCAAGCATGGGAATATTGTCCAAGAGAGGCACTGCGAAGGATTACAAAAATCTTGAAAGATGAATTTAATTTGGTATTAACTCTAATATCCCCAGTCCAACATATGAAGTCATGCACATTCTTTAATTCATTAATACATTATGTGCAGGAAATGAATGCTGGTTTTGAAAATGAATTTTATCTCCTAAGGAATGTTTTAAGGTTTGTCATGCTTTGTCCCTGTGTTGTATAGGTTTGTATTATTTTTTCCATTTTCACTATGACAAAAATACAATTAATTTCTCTAGAGGTGGGAGGGAGGAATGGGTACCATTTGACTCAACACCCTATTGCTCCACATCGGCATTTGATTCTGCATCCCCTTTGTTTCAAGAAGTTTACTTTGCTCTCCAGTCCTTGGATATCCCAGTGGAACAGGTATAAAAGTGCATCTGTAATGTTTTTGACATTTTTATATGAAAGTATGTTCTGTTTAAGGGTGTCAATGGACCGGATTTGGATTGGACCCCATCCAGTCTGTTGAAGATTAATTAGTTTTATGCTGTTTTTCTAAGTAGATGTTTTATGTTAGTTGTTAGATAGGAGGTGGGGACCACAGTAGTTATGTGAGTCCAAATTTTATTATGTTATCTGAGTAGATGTTTTATGTTAGTTGTTAGATAGGAGGTGGGGACCACAGTAGTTATGTGAGTCCAAATTTTATTATGTTTCTGAGTGTTATATATGTTGTTTTATGTTTTGCCGCCCTATAAGGGCATAGTTGTCTTTGTACTTGTTATAATTCGGCCTACTTTTGAGTTCTGTTA